TCTTGGCAAAGATGAACAACATTGAGGGACTCTAACTTTCCAACTTTAAAACTTATTTCAAAGTTAAAGTGATCAAAATCACAGAAGTGGAAGTAGCATAAAGATAGATATATAGATCAATAGAATAGACTCAGAAATAAAACCTTGAGCGTATGGTCAATTAATTTTCAACAAGGTTGCTGGTTCTGTTTAATGAAGAAATAGTAGTTTCTTCAATACTTAGTGCTGGAATAAGTGAACAGTTATGCATTAAAGAAAGAAATTGGACTTATAGAGCTAAAACTATAAAACTCTTAGAACAAAGTAGTAAATAATGACTTTGGCAATAGATTCTTTGATAAACATGAGCAACAAAACATAAAATAGATAAATCTGACTTAATAAAAATAAAAAAAGTTGCATTGTTATTAAGGAAATGAAAAGACACTCTACAGGAGAACATATTTGCGAGTCATACATCTGATAATGATCTACTACTCAGAATTAATAAAGAATTCTTAAAATTCAACAATGAATAAAAAGATGCTAATCCAATAAAAAAATTAAAGAATTTGAATGAACATTTCTACAAAGAAGATACATAATAATGGCCAACAAGCACATGAAAAGATCTCAACAGCATTAGTCATAAGAGAAATGTGGATGAAAACCTGAATGAAGTACCATGTCATGTCCTCCCAACAGGATAACTATAACAAAAAAGGAGCTATGTGTTGGCAAAGATGTAGAGAAACTGGAGCTATCATGCGTTGCTGATGAGAATTGAGAGATGACAGTTTCATGGTCTCTCAAAAAGTTCAGCACAATGACCATATAACCAAGTAATCCAACTTGAAGGTATACACCCAAAAGAATCTGAAAAAGTCACTCTAACAAATACATATATATAAATATTCACAGCTGTAGTATTCACAATAACCAAGAGGCAGAAACAGCCACATATCTACCAATGTTGTTGTGTTGTTAAGTGTCATGGAGTCATAGATGACTCATAGTGACCCTACAAATGAAATATATGAACATTTGTATAACTTTCATAATTTCTCCATGGTCATAGAGTTTCCAGAGGCAAGCCATTTCTGAAGTGGATGCCACTCCTGCTTCCAAGTCTACCAATAGATGAGTGAATCTTTGAAAGTGCTGTGTATTGTACACAAGGTTGCTAGGAGTCGCAGGTGACTCGACGGCAGATAACCACAATATGTAAGTAATTAAATAAAATTTAACCATAAAAAGGAATGAAGTACTGATCCGTGCTACCATATAAATGAGCCTCAAACACATAGACTAAGTGAAATAAGCCAAATGCAAAGGCCACATGTTATATATAACTCCATTTATAAGAAATATCCAGAAATGGTAAATTTTAGAGACAGAAAAGGAATTGGTGATCACCAGGAACAGGAAGGAAGGGGAAAACAGTAACTGATTGCTGAGAGGCACGGGGTTTTCTTATGAGGTCATGGAATATTCTGGAATTAGGAGTGATGGATGAACAACATTGTAATGTTCTAAATGCCAAGAATTGTATACTTTATAAATAATTTCATGAGAATATCAATTTAAAAAAGAGCCAAGTAGTAAAGCTCCATCTCACATTCTTTGAGCACGTAGGCAGGAGGGACTAGTCCTTGGAGAAGGACATCATGCTTGGAAGGGTGGAGGGGGACAGTGAAGGAGAGGAAGACCCCAGATGAGATGGATTGACACGGTAACTGGGGCAATGGGGGTAGGTGTGTCAGAGACAGAGAGACTAGCTCTGGATAAGGCAGGGTTCAGAGCTACTGCACACAGGGTCACTATGGGTCGCAGGCGACTGGATGGCATGTAAAAACAACACATGAAACCCACTGATGATCACATACCTTGTCACTTAATGTGTCAGCAGTCACTGACTCAGCACACACTCTCCTCGAGCCTCGGCTACATCATTTCTTGGGCTGTCTCAAAGGAGTATGTTATTCACTCCTGTGGGCCTGGAGTGGAGGCTGACAGAGTGAAGTTTACGCACTGATTTTTAATCAACCATCTTGTTCAAGTTCCCACCTTTCCGATAGCTGCTTCTTCACAATTTCTAACTTTTCCTCTAATTGCTTTTGGTAGCTGCTCCTGTGTGGGTGCGTGTATCACTTACTCTTCCTCCATCTGCTTTCTGTCGTCCTGCCATGTGGTTTGGGATTTTGCTGATTTATACTAGCCTTATTGAAAAAGGTGATGGAGTTTTCCTGGTGTGCTGGGTTTTGTTTATTTGTTTTGGTTTGTTTGGTTTTTTTAACTCTTAGGGTAATTTTAAGAGAAGGGGCAGAAACGTCTTCATGCCAACAGAAGTCTCTACATTTCTTTGTATTTCTGGTTTCTGTTTCCTCTAAATTTTATGCAATGGATGTAATGCATACACACACAACAGAGATTATGTAAAGTCAAGGCAGCAGCCCAACCCTGCCTCTACCTCTCCTGTGGAGCCCGGTGGGGACAGGATGCTCCAAGGATTTCCTCCCCTCAGCTCCTTGACTCAGTCAGCTCTCTGAGTGGCTTACGACTCATTGCTAGAGACTCCATTCCCACTCGTCACAACCCTGTGGGACACAGCAGAACTATCCCATAGTGTTTCTAAGGCTGCAATCTTCACAGAAGTAGATTATCACATCTTTCTCCCACAAAGTGACTTGAAACACTAACCTTTTCGTCAGCAGCAAAGTGCTTACCCAGTTCACCACGAAGGGTCCTTCCCCATGTGACTCACCCATTTTACTAAAGAGCTCCACATTCTTTGCAGAAAGGCACATTCTTGAGTTCCCTATCTAACCATACCCACTCTTCTGCATGCAGTATGGATTCTCTCGTGCCATTCCCAATGACCATGCTTCCAAAATCACAACCGTTTTATGAAGATAATTCAGAGTATGTGTGTTACCATGGCACCCACATATTTCTAAGGCTATTGATACCATTTCAGACAACAGGGAGTTAGGAGGCCATGACCCCTTTCTACAGATCTGCCTAGCTCCTCCACTCGGGTGCATGAGTGACCATCTCAGGCAGGCATTCTAGGCCCTGCAACACTCCTTAACTTCACAACGTCCATTAGATCCAAGAGAATCTGAGACCCCAGAATTTAACATTTACTGTAGACCCCTGAAGCTCTGAGCTCACGGAGGTAACAGTAACTTAGGCAGGGATGCCATAGGTGTATCAACTTCCACCCATTCCCTGGGCCTGAGTATTAAGCTCCACCTTGATCTGTGTGCACTGACATTTAAGCTGTCTCAGTAATCATGGATTTCAGGACCAGTGGTCCAGGAAAGTTCTTTGCTGTTTCTTCTCTTTACTTCTGGGTTCCTGAGTGCTAGTCCTCCATTCCCTAAGATCCTCCACCATCCCTCCCACCGGCTTCACTGTATTGACCCACAATTAGATTCTGCTGGGAATCTCATGAGAGTTGAGCCAAACAATTAAGTCAGGAAACTGCTCGCTAGGTTTAACACATCCGTCAGCCTCACAATGGCAGCCTGATTTGGTGGGCTGAGGCTCTGAGGACGTTTTAATCCAGCAGAAATGACACTGTTCCACCCCCCGCCCCACAGGCTTGCATGCATCTCCATTTTTTTGAATTCAGCCTCTCAGACACTTCACAAAATAACCCTTATCAATGCCCCCTTGCTGAACTCGCCCAACAATCTTCTATGTAGCTGCAGCGATTTCCTGGATGAGCTACTAATGAGGCTGGCACGCATCTCTCCTGTTGTTCGCAGCATTCTCTGTGTCTCTACTTATGAATGTTCATTCCCGACCTCTTTCAAGAAGAGTTTAGGGTAATAATATATGTCTGCATGAATGTGTGTGTGTGCGCGCACGTATGTCCACAAACAGAAAGACATCCGTTCTCTAGTAAAGTCAAACTCTCCTTGGGTCATTTCCTCCACCCTGAGAAGACCATCTGCTACCACAGTGCGTTGCTAGGACTTAATATGCCAGGCCAAGAAGAGTTCCCCCTGCACAGACAGACATTCACAAAGACAATGTGACTTCTGGAGATTGAATATCATCTTTAATTGGTAAGGCTCAGCATCCACTTTGTTGCTGTAGCAAACTCTGATGTACGTGTCCGTGTGTGTGTGTGCGCGTGTGTGTGATTTGTATCTGTATGTGCCTGAACCAATGAGGGGCCAACAGAGACTCCCGAGAAAGTCTCAACAAACGACTTTGTCAAGCAGCAACTGGAAGACGGTCTCCCGGGAGACATGAAGGCCAGACGCCTGCCTCCTATGATCTCGAGCCTCCATTTCTCCCGGGCCACCTCTTGTGCACTCTGAGGAGGGCAAGGCTAAGCCTGTGCCAGCCCAGATGAAAGGGCTCCTCGGCAAAGGTCAGCTGCCAATCTCAGTTCTCACTGCCTCCGGCAGGAGTGACATCCCTGGGCATAATGCAGACTGCTGGGCAGGGGTGGACAACCTGGGCCAGCCTCGATGCCCTGTGTCACACTGGGGCAGCACCGCCATGGCCCAGCCCTGGACAGAGAATCCAGAGCCACGAGGGCCATTTATTAGTTCATTTCTGAGATAATCAGGACATAGACCAGGCCCTTCCAGGGGGCAGACCTGGCTTGTGATGGCCACACAGGAAGTAACTTCCAAGTTACTTCCAAGTTACAAGAGCCTGCCCTCCCCACTGCCATCTCTACTCTCCAACTCCTCACGTGCCCAGTAGGTCTGCAGCCTAGATATGACAGGGAAGTAGGTCAGCATGATGGTGGGTCACAAGGAGGCCATGAGAGACTTAGGTGAGCTGTAACAGCAGCCACGTACCGGTTTGTAGCCAGCCCTCTCCCCCATGGTCACCGCCAGCCACAGCTTTCTGAAACCAGATGGGACCTCCACAAAGTAAGGCAGCAAGTTCGTGGACTACTATGGAGAGAGAGGACCAAAAACGGCCCCAGTATCCCATCGCCACCTGCTCTGTGTCTTAGGAAGGCAAGAAGCCCAGGTCCCGGGATGGTGGTATCAGCTGTTGGGGAAGCACCGTTGTCCAGGCGAGGCCTCGGGCCGGAAGCTGGGTTTGTTCAGCGGGCTTGGGTAGTAGGTGGTTGTGTATACGTTGGTCTGCTGCAACGGGTAGAAGTTGGCTCTGTCATCGGGGATCAGGTTATTCTTGTTCAGGGTCTGTGGGAGGAGGAAGGAAACACAGAGGAAGGGTGAGGAGTAGGATGAGAGGAGAAGCCAGGGCAAGTAGTGTCAGGGCCAGTCAGAGAAGAGCACGGTTGTTCACACCACCACGGGTCCTGACGGTCCAACCCAGCTCTGACCACAAACCTCGCCCCCTCCACCCTGCCTTCTGCTTCTTGGCCCATTTGAGCCCCTACCTTGAACTCCATAGGTGTGTACTTCTCATTCTTAGGTGTGCCCCCGCCCTTGTAGTGCAGGTGGTTGGGGGTGGTGGGATGGACGAGCGTGGACTCCTGGGACTGTCGCTGGCAGTGCTGACAGGATAGGTACACAGCCAAGGTCAGGAGCCCGGAGCCCAGGAAGCAAGAGACACCGGTGGCCACCAGGTGGATGATATTGAACCCTAGGAGAGGCAGAGGCTGGAAGTGAGAGCTGGGCCATTATAAGGGGCTGAGACTCTGGGTGGGCTGCCTCCCTTTCTCAGATTAAAAAAAAAGAGAGAGAAAGAGGCATAAACAGTAAGAGGAGGCTCTGACATGTCCAGGAAAGGGCTTTGAAGCCAGGGCCAAAGTAAACAGAGAGGCTGGGCAGCTTGTCACTGGGGAGTTCTGTCACTTGACAACTGTGGCATTAGCTAGAGATAGCAATCAGAAGGTCTGCAGCCTGGTGAATCTTCCTTGGATACAGACTAGATGACAGTCTCCTAGCTGGGAGTCATAGCGGATCTGACTGGAGACCCTGTTCCCATGGCCTCAAAGCAGTGGGGACTCCAATCAGGTCTGGTATCTGGAGGAGGTGGTAGAAAACATCCAGGTTTTGGAGTGGGGATGGTCTCTTCCCTGAGGAGTACAAGGAGGATGTCACGGGGTGGGGTGGTTCTCTTTACCTCCACAGCCAGTGGCCTCCTCCATGCTGGACGCTGGCAGGATCACTGCAAGAAAAGCAGAGAGTAATCAGGGGAGAGGAGATGGGAAGGGTCCCTTGGGGGCTGTGTGTGGCTCGGGGAGGAGTTCTGCTGCGCTCTGGTGGCATGGCCCACAGGGAGAAGTGCTAATAACCCAGGGGCGGCATCTCTGGTAGTTCCAGCCCACCAGCTGTCCTGCAGAAGAAAGATGGGCAATCTCCTCCTATGCAATTTACAGTCTCAGAAAACCAGCTTCAGAGTGTGCTATGAAGCAGTTTTGACTTGACAGGAACGAGCTTGAGGGTTGTTTGTTTGTGGTAGGTCAGTCGGCAGAGAACTATGGGATCTGAGCCTTTATGTCCTTTTGACTTTATCCAAACTTCACTGTTGTATATGTTGTTGTGTACCACCAAGTTGGAACCTACGCACAGAGGATCCTCCAGTGGGTTTTCAGAGGCAGTAACAGGGCAGGCTTCAGAGCTGTCGTACATAGGGCAGCTAGAGTCACAGGCGACTCGACAGGATGTAACAACAACAAACTGCACAGGAGGAGACTGCCCATCCTTCTCCCTTGGAACAGCTGGTGGATTCGAATCATGTACCTTTGGGATTGTAGCACAGCTTCTTACCTCTAGGCCACCAGAGCTCTCTCCTGATTTCAATAGAGCTCCCCTAAAATGGTTTAACCCATGAACTAGATGGAAAATGACAGAGGATTGAAGAGAAAGAGAGAGAGAGAGAGAAGAGAGAATGAATGTGGGTATGCAGGCAAAAATCTGAGCTGTCTGTTGGCATCACTCACCCTGATGTTTCTGACACTTCCTCAGAAGTCATGCTTTAGCATGGGGACGAAGGTGGGTCCTCAGGGTGGGAAGGGTTGGCTGATGCAAGGACTTACCAGGAATTTCACTGTAGGGACAGGGGCGACTCTGGCTGCTGTTCCCGGCACAGGAGGTGGGCCCTGGGACCAGCTCCTCACAGTTCCGGCTGCGGCTCTGGGTTCCATCCTCGGTGCACACGCTCCACTCAGACCATTGCGACCAGCCCTCTGTGGGTTGGGATGAGGTTAACCACCCTGGAGCTCTGATGGAGCTCCCAGCCCTGGGTGACACAGCCATTACCTGGGCAGGGCTGTGTGGCGCACAGTGCCTCCTCCGTGTGCAGGCCAAGACAGATGTCTTCACCAGGGGAGGGCGCAGGGCTGGTGCAGGAGCGTGTACGCTGGTAGTGGCCTCCGCCACAGGAGGCTGAGCACGGAGACCACGACGTCCAGCAAGACCAAGCTCCCCGGACTGCAAGGGGGAGCAGTGAGGAAGCAGGGCTCGAGGCCACCTTCCCCCCTCAGCTCAGGAGGGGCCACATGGACCTTAACTTCTAACCCACACAGTCAGTCCCACTCAGCACTGCCCCTCTTCCAGTTGGGGAGTGTCCCCGGCCTCAGAGGAGACAGAAGAAATGCAGGCTGCATCAAAGAACCCAAGATGAGTGAAGCCAATAGCATCTCAAAGTCAAGTTCCTTATCTGGCCAAACTAAATGTTAGTGTTAAATGCCATGAAGTCAATGACAACGCATAGCAACTCTATGAAGGACAGATCTGAAGTCTGTCTTATCCTGCACTATTCTCACTAATGCTTGAGTCCACTGCTGTAGTCATTACATCAATCCATCTTGTGAAGGATTGTCCTTTCTTTCTTTGACACCCCCCCTTTCTCAGCACAACGTTTTTCTTACAAAGACTAGCTACTCTTGATAGCATGTTCAAAGAATGTAAGATGAATTTACACCATCCTTGCCTCTATGGAGCACCCACAGGAGAGAGGAGAATCTAACAGGAAGAGTGGGGAAAGGCCCTGTTCTATGGGTGTAGCTGCTGAATTCATGACAGGAAACTGCTGAACACAGTGGGTAGGAGAAAGAGGTCATCAGGCAAAGAGGTCTTTTGGTCTGGAGGTGGCCTTGACAGGTCTAGAACTCTCTTAGATTGGGCTTTTAGGGGGAGGGTGTTTCTCCAGGCAAGGGCTGATATAAGTCAAGGACTGTTTACACAAAAGATTGCCTGTACATGTATTCACAAAATGGAATACTATGCAGCTCTAAGGAGCAACAATTTAGAAAAATGCTATATAACTTGGGAGAGACTGGAGAACATTATGTTGAGTGAACTAACTCAGCCTTGTAAGAACAAATACTGTATAAGACCATTATTGTGCAAACAGAAAGATAACTAGTAAAATACGTATGTGGCCTCAAGGGTGGTAGCGGTGGGGCCACAGGGGTGAGGATGGGTAGGGGTGAAATCACAGTGTTGCACCATATGGTGGGTGCAGGGAGAGGGTAAAAAATGAGAAAGATCCCATGGAGACCTGAAAAGACAGGGTAATGATGGGCATAGTCCAATGATGATTAATTTTATAAAACATTATTGCATGGGATCAAGAGACAAATTGCACTGAGAAAGTCTGTTGGGGACATCTCCAGAGTACAGAATAGCAACAGTGCCAGTCTGGAGACTAACATGCTCCTGATCCAGGCCATGATCTTTGCAATTAATGTGTTATAGATCAGAAAACTGGACAATGACTAGAGACGATAAGAGAACTAATGCCTTTGAGCTGTGGTGGTAGGTAAGAGTAATGACTATACCATGGACTGCTAGGAGAACAAACAGGTTCATGCTTGAGAGGGTGAAACCAGGCTGCTCCTTGGAGGCAAGGATTCTGAAGCTCCGTCTGATATACTTTGGGCATGCTGCAAGGAGGGACCTGTCCTTGGAGAGGGACATCACTCTTTGGAGGGTAGAGGGACAGTGCAAGAGAGGACTCTGGATAAGATGGATTGGTTCAGTGACTGGGGTAATGGGGGTAGGTATGCCAGAGACAATAAGGTTGGCTTAGGATAGAGCAGGGTTTGGAGTTGTTGTACATAGGATCACTGTAAGTTGCCAGCAACTCAATAGCACATAATAAATACCACAATTCAGGAAATGATTGTATGAAACACAATGTGATTGGAGAATAGTGTGTATGGCCTGTGTATAAACTTTGTAAGCAAACCAATATAAAATAAAAACATTTTAAAAATTACTTTTACATTCTTTTATTATATTGTGTTTCATATGATCACTTCTATACACTGTGTTTTATAAAATCACTCACTATTGTTCTATGCCTACTATTATACCATCTTTTCAGGTCCCCACTGAAACTCTCCTGATTCCTTACCGTCCACCTCCCCACCCCCACGGGCTGCCAAGCTCTGTTAACCTAGTGATCCTCCCCTCCTTCCATCCCTCTTCTCCTTTAAGACTTTTATACACATCTAGTTATCTTTCTATTTTTATAATAATGGTCTTATGCAGTACTTGTCCTTATGAGACAGTTCAATCAGCATAATGCCCTCCAGATTCTCCCATTATATAGTATTTTACGAAATCATTGCACTTGCATACTGCAGTATTCCATTGTGTAAAAGTACCAGTTTCTCAGTCCATTTGTTTGTCGATGTTGTTTTATGTGCTGTCGAGTCACCTGCGACTCATAGCGACCCGATTTACAACAGCCCTAAACCCTGCTCTATCCTGTGCCAATCTTATTGTCTCTGATACACCTACCCCCATTACCCCAGTTACTGAATCAATCCATCTCACAGAGCGTCTTCCTCTCATGCGTTGTCCCCCCACCCTCCCAAGCATGACGTCCCTCTCGAAGGAGTGATCCTGCCTTGCAACATGTTCAAGTATGTCAGATGAAGCTTCAGAATCCTTGCCTCCAAGGAGCAGGCTGGCTTCACTCTCTTCAGGATGAACTTATTTGTTCTCCTAGCAAGGAGTCCATGGTAAATTCAGTACTCTTCTCCATCACCACAGCTCAAAGGCACTAATTCTCTCTCATCGCGAGATGTTGTCCACCTTTCTGAAGCATAGCAAGTAATTGAAAAGACCATGGACTGTATCAAGTGCACCTTAGTCTCCAGACTGACATAATTGCTCGTCAGTACTTTGGAGAGGTCTCTGTCAGCAGACTTTCCCAATGCAATTCGTCTTCTAATTTCCTGGCTGCAGGTACCAAGACTGTTGACTGTGGAGCCAAGCAAACTAAAGCTGCTAACAATCTCAATCTCTTCACCATCTATCATGATGCTACCAATCGGTTCAGTGGTGGGAATCTTTGTTTTCTTATGTTGAACTTCAGTCAATATTTAAGACTGTTATCCTTGACCCTCTGTAGCAACTGCTTCAGGTCCTCTTCAGTTTCAGCAAGCAGGGTTGCATCATCTGCATAATGCAGATTGTTGATGAGTCTTCCTCCAATCCTGATACCACGTTCCTCCTCATAGAGACCAGCCTTCCAGATAATCTGTTCTGCATATAGATTGAAAAGATATGGAGATAGGACACATCCTATGGTCCTTCCCAATTTTGAACCATGCAGTGTTTCCTTGCTCTGTTCTGATGACTGCTTCCTGGTCCAAGTATAGGTTTTGCATTAGCACAATCAAGTGTTCTGGGATTCCCATTCTTCTGAGTCAGCCACAGTTTGTTGTGATCTACATAGTCAATGTAACACAGACATTCCTCTGGTACTTTCTGCTTTCAGCCAAGATCCATCCGACATTAGTTATAATATCCCTAGTACCACGGCCTCTTCTAAACCCAGCCTGCACATCTGGCAGTTCAGATGTGCAGTTCAAGTCGTCTTTGGATTATCTCCAGTAGAATCTTGCTTGCATGTGATATCAGTGACATCGTTTGATAATTTCCACCCTCTGTAGGATCACTTGTCTTTGGAATGGGAACAAATACGGATCTCTTCCAGTCAGTTGGCCAGGTGTACACACAAAAACGATATACACAAATTCTGTATGCAAGCCCAGATAAAACAATTTTTTTAGATATAAAAGAATATAGAAACGAAAAAATAATAAGAGTACCTGGACAAGCCTGGGGGTTGCAGTCCTGGTATTCGGCCGCATCGCCCACACAGGGCAGGCCCCCACTGCGGGGCTCTGGGTTGGTGCACGTTCTCTTGCGGACACGAAAGCCCAGCTCGCAGTCCCGGGAGCAGGATGACCAGGGGCCCCAGGCGGCCCAGCCCCCGTTCACCACGTGGGGAGGGGCGCTCCCGCTGCGCAGGAGATCATCCACCAGGGCTGGGGAGGGGACCGGCCTCAGCAATGAGGGTGCCCCCACCCTGCCTTTCCATCTCACACGATTTCCCCTTTCCTTAAAACCAACTGTTTGCACCCACCAGTAAGCCTCCCTCCAGGCCACCATCACCTCTCTCCACCCCTTTCCACCCTGTGCCCCCACCCCATCGCTCTGGTGTCTAGGAGGGTGGCCGATGGGGAGCCTCAGCGGTGTACCATCGGTGTCGCAGGCTCCAGAGCCGTCCGCTGGACAGGTCCTAGTCTCTGTCCTCCTCTTGCCGAACTGCAGGCCGTGGGGGTCGGGCAGGGGCGCGCGGCACGTGAAGCGGAAGCGCTGCTCCTGCCGCGCCCCGCCCTGCGTCACGTTCACGGGCAGCCAGGGCGTCCAGGGCGTGTTGCGCCGCACCTCGGGGCAGCCTTCAGGGTTGCAAGTCTTGAACTCCTTAAGCACCAGAGCAGGTGGTGTTTTATTACTTCCCAGGCACCAGGTCAGCCCTGCGCCTCCCGCTCTGCTGCCTGGCCCCAGGTCCTCGTGTTCCCCGCCTTGCACCCCCTACTCGCGCTCCCCCACACCAAACCCACCACTCCACAGCCTGGACAGGAGTTGCCGTTCTCACAGGACCGACGCCGAGACTGCACGCCACCCCCACAGTTACTGCTGCACTTGCTCCAGGAGCCCCACGATGCCCAGAAGATGGGCACTGGGCAGGGGGTGTTTTCGTTACAGAACCTGAGGGTGGGAGGGAGGTGAAGGCGCTGTCACCGCAGGGAGCAGGAACCTCCTCCCTGACGAGGTCACGGGGGAATGAGAGTCCACAGGATCAGGGGGAGAATCCAGGCCACTGTCTAGCACCCCCCTGGGAAGTTTGCCCTCTGGAGTGAAGATGTACTCAGAGGCGCACACCGCCTGGCTCACCGCTCCTCTCGGCTCTTGCCCACGCAGATGCGGCCACCGTGGCGAGGTGCGGGGTTGCTGCAACTTCGCTGGCGGACCTGGAAGCCTATTTCACAGGATGTGCTGCACAAGGCCCACGACGACCAGGGGGTCCACGCCCCGTTCCTAGTGGAGACACGGGGGTGGGGTGGGGAGAAGACCCTTTGAGCCCTACCTTCTTCGATCTAGTCCACTTCTGGGCCACTGCATGTTTGTAATTGTCAGGAAGTGTTAGAAACTTTTAGCCTCTAGTAGGATATACAGAGCTCTGGTGGTCTAGTGCATAAGGAGTTGCACTGTAAACCCAAAGCCAAGCAGTTCAAATCCACCAGCTGATCCTGGAGAGAAAGATGGGCAATCTTCTCCTGTGCAATTAAACTGCCTCTGAAAACTGGCTGGAGGGTCCAGCCATGAGTCGGTTTTGGTTCTGATTTGATGGTACACAACAACAATAACAAATGATGGAATCTATAAGGAACTGCAGTGCTCCTTCATCTTTCTGGTGATTTGAATCCACCAGGAGAATCCTCAGGAGAAAGATGGAATGTCACTTCCCAAGGGTTGTACAGCCTCAAACAACTGATGGAAGGTCAGCTATGAGTCAGTTCCAACTTAATGGCAATGAGATATACATATACAATTTGATCCTAAAAACAATCTTATACAGTAGGAATATAATCATTATCCCTGTTTTACAGATAAAAGTGAGGTATGGGCAGTTCCTGTACCTTGCCTCAGTGGTAAACTAGTAGAGACAAAATTTGAAAGTTTGAGTCAAAGTAGACAAATGTGATTGGTTGTGAGGCATGTGGAGCATAGAATGGAGGAAGAGTGTGAGTTTGAGAAAAAAGAGTGGCCAACCAAGAAGGTGGGAATTAAGGCTTTCCATTGGAAAGGTGAGGGGTGACCTTCTCTAAAGATGGGGCTTATTCCTCTAAGTGGCTGTTGTTAGGTGGTGTTGAGATGTTTGTGCCCTTAGCACCGAATACAGCGCTGACATATGGAAGAAGGTTCGTAATACACACTGGAGGAGTGAGTGAGAAAACAAACTTAATTTGCCTGAAATGACCTGGCTAAAACAAAAAACCCAAACCCACTGCTGTGGCGTCATTTCCAATTCATAGTGACTTATAAGACAGAACAGAACTCTTCCAGGGCATTTCCAAGACTGTACATCTTTAGGGAAGCAGAGCAGTTAGTAGATTTGAACCACCCATCTTTGATCTGGCAGCTCATTAGGCCATCAGAAAACAAAGTTATTTGAAAAAAAATGTGAAACACCTCATAAGGATTAAGTGTCACTGCAATCACTGTTTATTGAAGCTCTTGACTCCAAGTAGTGTGCAAGCTGTTTACCCGCATTACCTTATTTAACCCTCCCAATAATTCTCAGCATAGTTACAATGACCTTCACTTAGACCTGATCTGAGTGGTCAGGCGGCTTGGCCAACATCACAGCTCCAGTGGCAAGCCAGAATTGGCATCAGGTCTATCTTGACACTGTCTTACGCTTCAATGTTTACGACGAATAGACTGATAGGCTAAACTGATTCCTATAACAATCCAGCCCTCTCTTCGCACCAAGAGCAAAGGCACAGGTAGAAACTTCTGTCACTAGAGTGAAAACTTCCCCTGAGCTCATGCTTGTTGCATATCCAATCTTCCACACAGCCCTTAAGCAGTTTCTGTCCCTCCATGCAAACACCAGAGGATGCACCATCCCACCTTCCCTCCCCTCCAGTGCAGCCCCATCTCCTCACATACCTGGAGCAGTTGGCGATATGGATGGCTGGCCCCAGGCAGTCACGGCCCCCACAGCGGGGTCGGGGGGAGTCACAGGCTCGGGCTTGACACAGACAAGAGCCTGAGTTGTCTCCATCTAAGTGCTCACATGGTTGCCATGGTGACCAGGGACCGAAACCCCCATCTCGTGTCAGGTCTCGCACCTGTGGACACATGTGGGAGGCAGGAGACCTCTGTCACAGAAGCAGAGAAGGCACACAATCCCAGGGGACTCTGAGAATGCTGGTAGGGAGTGACAGCCTGAATGGGGTGGAGTGGCATGGGGCAGGGGGCAGGGAAGGGTTCTCACAGGACACGCTGTGATGTTCTGGGTCCAAAGGCTCATGTTGGAGCTATCCTCAAGCGTGCTGCACCGCTGCTGCTTTCCGTCCCAGCCGCAGTAAGGGTCCCGTGCCCCAAGGCAGGCCCTGCCAGACAAAGGTCCCGAGACTAAGCCAATAGGCATCCTGGCCTCACCTGCATCCCAAGACACACCTGGACAGTCCTCTTTGGGAATCCCTTCCCATCAATAATAACATGCCAATAATAATAATAATAATAATAATAATAATAATAATAATAATAAAAACAACAACAACAATAATAACGAAGCTCGCTCTGATGGATGGCCTATTGCTAAAGAGTTGTGCTGCAATCCCAAAAGCAAGAGGTTTGAATCCATCAACTGCTCCATGGGAGAAGGATGAATGATCTCCTTCTATGCAATTTACCGCTTCTGCAAACCTGCTGGAGGGTCAGCTATGGGTCAGTTCCAACTCGACGGCACACAACAACAACACCACTACTAAAACAGCCACAATTAAGTTTGCTGAGTATTTACAGCATGCCAGAAATTAATTTACCAGCATGAATTAACATAACAACCCAATGAGGTAGATACTATTACTATCTCCAACATGGGGAAACAGAGAGCTGACCAAGGTTTCAAACTGCTACCCTGTAGTCCACACCTTTTCAAAAAAATGCATTGCCTTTCCCAAGTCTGAGTGCTCACTCCGGAGACACAGGAGTGGAGATGGGCAACAGGAACTCACAAGGTATTGCCCCTCCCACTGCTACACCCTAAATGTCATTCTTCAACTCTGCCTGCCCATGAGAACAGCCAGAATAGCCTTTTGAAAGTAATGATACCCCGGCCCACCTGGAGGAGAATCTCAGGAGGTTTAGGTGGGTTCCAAAAAGCTCCCCAAGTGATTCTAATGGGAGGCAGAGTGAGAATCACTGTGCTCCCCCCAACCTTTCAGTGGAGAAAAGAGTTACCAAGGGGAAGGAGGAGACTTCCCCAGATCACATGACTCTATGTCTCCTAACGTCAGGCTCGGCTTTCTCTTCATGTTTTTGTCTCCCAGCTGGACACTGTGTCTAATTCCACACGATGAGTGAATGAACGTGGGTCCACCCCTCAAAACACAGGGACATAACCTAGGCCATCCACACTGCTTGCCCTGCTTGCTCAGTGGATTAGTGTTAGAACAATAAGCTGGCCAGGAAAGGGGTTGATGTTCCAGGCCGCCTTCTCTGGCCTTAAGGGCTGATCAGGAATGGGCAAAGCGTGTGAAGATTCATACACCAGCAGGAGCTCAAATATCTCAATTTACCATTGTCTCAGTCTACAATTTCCCTTCTTCCTTTATCCTTCTGAGTTACTAATTGTATCTTTCAGGTTTTTTTTAACAACAAAAATGAACCTCTCTACTGGTGGTATCTCAAGAAGGAGGGAAAAGTCCACAGGAAATGTCTGAATTAGGAGTTGTTGTCCACTGCTAAGCAAAGAGCATTAGATGCTGGAGCTTGATGGAGGGCTCTCACTCCACAGAGGGCCCAGTGCCGAGCCCAGTGTGCACCTTGAATCCATCCCCTCTCTGCTACTTCCTCCCTCTTCTGATCAAGCCCTGTTTCCTTGTAGCAGTACGCCTGGTACAGAGGGCCCAGGAGAGCACTGAGGGTAGAAGCACAGACATCAGAGGCTTTGGATGAGAGAGGAGGTAGACTGCAAAGAGAGTGAGGAAAATAGCAGAGGTGGGAGATATTGGAGGGGTGCAAACTATCATGGAGTTTGCAAAGGACCTTCTATGAGAAAAAGAGGATTTCTATATACTAGTAAAGGATGTCAGGGACTAAAAAGCCAGAGGATTGCAGCTTTAAATGTGGTCTGGATATTTTTTCCTTGAAACTTTGAATAGATGTTTCCCTGTCAAGTAAGTTCTTTATTTTTAGTAGAGCATGTCAATCACCAGAGAAAAAAACGGTGATGTGAAAAAACTGAGACAAAAAAGGCAGAGATGCCCATGTCTCCCCAGGAGGTCGAAGAAGACAATGCTGAGCCCTGCTTGAGTCCAGCCTGTGTCCTGACATAGGAGGTGGTGCTTGGGGCCTCCGTTCCTGAGGGCCTCACCAGACACTCTGGCCAATGCAGGAATCCAGAATACCCCTCTGTAGCCCAGAAAATGGTGCCTATTTTATTCACTCAAAGGTAATTTATATGAGTAAAATAATAGGGATGTGTTCACATTTTCATCTAACTTTGATTTGGGGGTATATTATGAGCAGAATCTTCCCCAGAGGTCATCATGAGAATGAAAGCAATAGGTGTACGAAAGTAGTCCCAGCAATGTGGGAATCTTAGATTCTTCTCTATTCTCTATTCTATTTGGACCACGCAGGCTGCTAGAAAATGCAGCTGATCAAAGCCCATAATTGTATTTCTTCCTTTTAGCTTTCACAGAAGGGTATCAAACTCTAGAGTGTATTTATTTAACATTTTATAAGCAATTGGAAAAAGGTTAGCCACCGATAGTGGTTACTTGTTTTTGTTGTGTGCCATTGAGTTGGAACCAACACACAGCTGACCCTCTAGTGGATTTCTGAGGCTGTAAATCACAAGAGCGGAGACTGCCCATCTTTTTCCCTCGGAGTAGAGGGTGGATTCAAACCCCATGTCTTTAGGTTGTCAGTGCAAAGCCTTATCTAACAGGCCACCAGAATACCCTAGTGATTAATAGTAAGAATAAGATTGTAGCCATCAAAAACAATCATCCACCTGCAGAGAAAGTGGGTAAGCACAGAACATTCGCATCACCTTCCACAAGGCAAAACCAGAAGATGCTGGAGGAGTGTAATTTGCCTCATGCTATTTCTTTCAGCTGAGGCCTCAAAAGTTCTAGAGCAGCAGTTCCCAGTCTGGACAGCATATTAGAATCTCCTGGGGAGCTTTTAAAAAGCCCAAACAAACAAACCCTGCCTAAGTCTTGGCCTTTTGGACTGCAATCAGCGCAGACTCTGGAATCTTTTACAAACTCCCCAGGTGATTTTAATGACAGCTATTGAACTGCTGTGCCAAGGCCACTTTTGTGAGGATTCCCAAGCCAAGAAAAGTGTCTTATCTTTCCAATTCACAGCAGAATAGAGGGGAGAAGAGAAATACCAAGTAGATGCTGCTGAGCCAGCCCTTCTCAGCTTCCCTTGCTTCTTCAGACTTTCCAGCTCTCAGTTAAGACCCAGAGAAGACACAGGAGACCGGATTCCTTCAGGACACGCCTGCCCAGCCCCACCCCTGGCAGTCAGTCTGAGGGGAAACTCCCAGGGCCAATGCCTGATCCTCTTTCCAGTACATAACTAAAGAGGATCCCTGTTCCTCCCAGCTCAGGAAGAGCCACATTACTACTTTTAGACAAAGGCTACTTCCAATCTTGCCTAGCAGGATGTGCTCTGAGGCACATGAAAGCTCCAAGCAGAGACATAAAAGGTATCTCTGACTACAGGCATAGCAGCCCTTTTGGAGGTCTTCTCTTAAAAGGAGTCTTCAGACAACAGAACATCACCATGTTGTCTTTTTTTTTTTTAAATTGCAGAGTCTTAAGCAACCATTATAAAAGGGTACAGGTTTATTCTGTGAGCTTCGAGGCAAGATGGAGATGAACGGTAGAAGTCGGAAGCAGGCAGATTCCAGTGCCTTGTAGCAATAGCTGCCTCTCCATGGGAGCTGTCCCGGGTATAAGACCTTGCAAGTCAGGCCAGTACTTAGATGGGTCCAGCACTCTGTCAGGGACGGAGGTTGGGAGGAGACAGCCACTAAGGCACTGTCCAAGGTTCTGAAGGAGAATGGGTGATTCCTGCACTCAGAGGGCAGGCAGGGGAATCTGTGAGTTGAACTAGAGGGTCCCCAATTCAACTCAAACTCATCCTCCCCGGATGAGTTTGGTTCTCAAGCTCTTCCTCATGTGATTCCTGTTCTCTCTCTGGTCAGACCCAGGTTCTGTCATGCTCGTGGGGCTGTGGGTCACCGGAGTGGAAGGAGGGGGGTGGAGACACCCCTGGATTCTGAACAGAGGAAGCCTGCTTCTTTTGCTTGCGACTCTCTTGCTTGCCAGCTTGGAAGAAATGAGTTAAAAAGCATGAAATGTCTATCTTAGGATAGACAGCAAAACCCTGTGATGACATGAATTCTGATATGATGTGATTAGCAGTTGGCTCCCAGACTCCCCAGAGTTCATGGCATGATGGCTGCACCTGTCTGCTCTTGTTACTTTATTAACCTTGTAATAATATGACCCCAAAGACGATATTTTCTTATTCCACCTGTAACTTCATGGCAAGGTTTGCACTCTACATGAAGAAATCTGATCCCAAAGCCACAGGGACTAAAAGTATTAGACTTCAAATTCTTCTCTAACCTTCCTGCTCTACCTGACTTACACAGCAGCCACACTACGCAACCTCTCCGTCCTTCCCCTACAGAACCTGGGTCCTAGGAAATGTCCCCAGCATCTCTCCTAACTTTTGTCCAACTGCAGACTTTGTTATGTCATATCTGGCCGAAGCAGACACTAGCTCACTTCAGTAGGAAAGGGGTAATCATCATGTTCTCTGCTCTCTGCTCTTTTTAAAGCACCTCTCCCCACTGTCTTTCTACTCTCCTACTCAAAGATCATTTTGATTCAAGCAAAAATCCTCCCTCAACTCACTCTCCAGAGCAGCTTCCCATCCTTCCCCTCCACCAACCCCCTCTCAGGGCAGAGGATCAGATGAATGAGATATCAATCACATGCAGAAGACCCCTTTGTGCCTTGGCCCCCTGAGAAGCCTGGGATACTGTGTTTGCCTTCAAAGATTTGCCAACTCTGCGAGAACAAGGCAGATGGAACAAGTTTAATGACACTACAAGAATAAAAGAAAAGCACAAGATATGAGGATATATTATCAGCAGGTAGCCTGTGGTTCATTGCCAAGCAGTGGTGTGTGTAGACCATGTCACAGATTCTGAGACTAGAGAGTCTGGAGGCTCCTAACAGTATATGTGGAGATTAAAAAAAAAAAAAGACATTAAAGCCAGTTGCCATACAGTCGATTCCCCTCATGGCAACCTCATGTATGTCGGAGTAGAACTGGACCCTCTAGGACTTGACAGCTGAATGTTTTGGAAGTAAATTGCCAGGTCTTTCTTATGAGATACCCCTGGTTTGATGCAAATCTCCCACTGAGTCCATTAACCATTTGTCCATCCAGGAACTCTGAACAGGATACTAGTTATTGCTTACGATCTGCTAGACTAGGCACTTCATATTATTCTCCATCCGTACAGCGACTGTCTGAGTGAAATAGCATTTGTCCCATCACAACTGGCTGCCATCTTCCTGATAAGAAAGCAGAAGCTCAGTAGATTAGCCAACTTGCTCAAGACTGTACAGCTAGTAGATATCTGAACTGACGTGGAAACCCAAGTGTGTGTGATTCCACCACCCACACTGCCTCTATCTGTACGTCAGCTATAGACCAAGCCGAGGTTTCTCTCCCTGTCATGGGAAGCTTTGAGGGGAATGAAAATGTGTTAGGGCTCCCTATCATTGAAAGCTTTGAGGGGAATGACAATGTGTTAGGTCTAAACTCATCTTCCCCCTTCTTACACCAACAACTCTGAAAAATGCTCTAACACGGCTGGTCGTAGCATATGTTTGGCTGACGGAGCTATGTGTTGGGGCTGAAGGGAGTCTGCCAGAACAGCACCCCACCCCACATACACTGCCATACCATGACCATGGACAACTCAGTCCTTACCCTCCTCCGCCCCCAGGCCCAGTACACCCCACTGAGGTTGGAGGACAACCCTTGGCAGCTGTGATATCATTTGTCTCCTAAACCTTGATGACAGATGGGCACAGCCAGGGGGAGTTGAGTTGCAAAGGCCACAGGAGCACATGCCGCTGTGGCTATGCCAGCTAAAGTCAGCGTTTTGATTATCATGCAAAAGGGGGTGGGGGGAATGAAGCCTCAAGAAGCACCAAAGGCCTGTGGCGCATTTCCATTTGGCTTTGGACTCCGTTTTTGTTTCTCCCCAGAAATACCAGCACCACTGATGCCAAATTGTGAATCTACATGAAACTACCATTACCAAGCGGTGATTTCAAGCAGTTGGGAAGCAAATGCAACTTCCCCACATGGTTCCTCAGCTCCAGCCCACTCTGCAGAGCTCTTTCTGGCCCTTCTAAGGAAGAAGGGAGGATGAGTGGCAAAAAGTTAGCCCTGACTTGAAACCTCTGCTCCATCTGCCCTCACAAAGGGGCTGCTGTTTTTATGAGAGGGTACTAAAAGCTAAATGCTTTGGTCTGAAAGATAAGGACCTTTCTGAACTGATGGGACTGACGTTGACAACAGGAATAACACCTACCCTTTGCCAAGCATATACTCCCCCAGGCAGTAAGCACTTTATGTAGATTACCCCAATTAACCTTCACACAAAATCTTTGCAAGATGTTTTATGCGAGGAAAGCCATAGTTAGGAGAGGTTAAGTGACTTGCCTAAAGTCACACAATTGGAGAGGAGGCCAGGATACTATGCAGCCTAATACCAAAGCCACTTGGCTTAAACGCCATCTCCCAGGTGATTGGCTGGAGTGAGCCGAGGGGTGGGGACGGGAAGGGAGGCCGGCCCACCAGCGGCGCCAGCTTACCTTTGGCTGCGGTAGGCGGCGCACCTCTCCAGCGGGACGCGCAGCACGCCGTCGCTGAGCCCCACGAAGAGCGCGCGCGCGCTGTGCAGGATCCGCAGGCTGCGCAGGGGCTCGCGGCGCCCGGGCGGCAGCACGTGCAGCTCCTCCAGGTAGCAGCCGCGGAGGCTGCGGCTGCCGGTGGACAGCGCCTTCAGGATGGTGCCTGACTCTGCAGGGACCAGACGCAGGGGGCCTGAAGGCCCAGATCTCGCAGCCCTGCCTCTGCTCCTTCACCTCCTCCCCACCTGGATCCCAGGGTGCCCGGTTGGCTCACCTGTGCCAATGTACAGCACGTGGTAGAGCGTGTCTTTGGCCTGCACAAGGTCCACCACGAGGTGTGAGAAGCGCACGCTGTCCTGGGTGACACAGGGCTCCGGGGTGACGGGCTGCACAGCCTCGCTCATGAGGAACAGGCGCTGAGCGTCCTGCAGGCTGCGCTCGGTCAGGTTCTCATTGGGGCCCACTTCAGGCAGAGTCCCGCACTGCCACGGGGAGGAGGGTCAGGTGAGCTCCTGGGGCTACTGGGCCACAAGCTCCCCAACCCTTCCAGATTGGAACCCAGGCCACAGGCAGAGTTCATTTCTCCAATCCTCTCTTCCCCCCAAAAGAAGTTCCCACTGGTTCCTTTATGTCGCTTTCTGTGGAAAGATATCCCTTCTTTGGGAACTAAGAAAGATTGAAGCCTTGGAGATAAAGCGTAAAGGGGCAAAACAGGCTGGCTATCTAGAAACAACATTTGAGTGTGGATAGAAGTTCCCTGAGAGTTACAGTGTTTCACCTCTCTCCACATCAAGCCTCCTGCTTTCTAAACCAAAACTGACGGGGAAGTCCCATTAATTGAGCACTTGCTACATTTTGTCATAAGTCAGACTTGACCCATGGCAAAATGTAGTAAGTGCTTAATAAACAACAACAACTACCATATCCGCGCTACCTGGCAACCAACCCTGCACACATCTGCTGGGAGGATGGTGTTACCCTGGAACTCCTAAGAGAAGAGGTTGAGCGACTTGCTCAAGGCCACACAGACTGGGCCAGATCTGGGTCAGAATTGTGGCCTGTGTGCCCTGAGATCTTTCTCTGCTCCCTGCTGCGAACAAACTCAACCCCGTTTCAGCCCCTTTGGCCTCCCTGACTGGACACGCTCACACCATTGGTGGCTGCCCTTAACCCTTCCCACTGGCATAGCCTCAAGGCATCCATACCTATGCTGGGAAACTCCAGCTCAAGTCATCAGACCCTGGCTCTTAGTTCTCTAAGTCAACACTGAGACAAGTTGTGGTGCCACCTCCCTGCCTCCCTGGTGGTGTGGGGGTCACATTTAATGACTTCCATCCTCCCATCCTCCCTCCTTTCTCCTCTCATGCTCTCAGGTTACCACTTTCTTCAAGGAGCCACCACCGACCCTTGAGATGGGTACAGACCAGCATAAATTACTTTTGGCATTTGTCTGTTCTGAGCAGTCGGGAAATCAGCTTGTGTATGAAAGTCAGGGAGAATAAATATAATTGAGAGGGGAAGAAGCAGAGCATTACCTGGAAATTGGGGATGGGGTTGGCGATGGGGAGCCAGGCAGCCCTGGGGTTGTCTTGGTAGCGAAAAGGGCCATTGAAAGCCTGGGAGATGGCACTGAGGTTGAAGGCGCAGACAGCAGAAGCTGCAATGCTGTTTCTGAAAGGCAAGAGAGGGCAGGATGCAGCCTTTCCCGTAGGCTTCTGCAATTGCCAGCAAGGGTTGCTGTTGAGGTGATTCCACTCCGTGGGGACCCCGTGTGTCAGGGCAGTACTGTGCTCCACAGAGTCTTCAGTAGGTGATTTTTCAATAGTAGGTTATCAGAGGCCCTGGTACCTTTCTCTTAACTCTCACAGTCAGCTCTCCCATCCCAGCATGGCACAGCTCCAATGCTTACTAAGCATCTCTGATGAGCCTGTTCCCTTCTGCACTATGGGCTGTCACAGGAGGCCTGGACACATCCTCAGAGTCTGGAAACCCTGGGGAAAGGCCCGCTGCTCTCTCCCCTGCTGCCACCTCCTCTTATTGATTGAAAGGTTAAAACAAAGTTAGACGTTTTCAAGCATTTTAGAGCCATAGCAAGAAACAGATACCATAACTCAGCACTATGTGTGTGTGTAATGATTTTCATGAAACACCCTTACTAAGTACATTATACTCTGATTTTTTCCATCTTTTTTTTATGCGCACATGAATGTGTATTTTAAACCTGATTGCCACAGCCCTGCTTTATAGGGGAGCACACAACACAGGACCCCAGTGACCTTTAAGACCCCTGTATCAGTCACAGAGTTCCCTTTCTTAGGAGTCTGGTCTGAACAATTTACTGAGATGACACTACTTTCCCAAAGCCTTCCAGATCTGCACTCTGCACTGACTCCTTCCCCTAATTGTCCACCTCTCCCCCCTCTGCCTGGTCTCTGCTCTATAGTCTTTTATCTGGATGCTGCATGGCTCTACTGGCTGGTTTCCCTGAAGCCTGTCCTGTCTACCCTAATCCATTCTCCACACAGCAGTCAGAGCAATCATTTCAGAATGCGCATCTGAGCCGGTCACTGGAATGCTTCAATCCCTTCAATTACTTCCCTTTGCTCGTAAGATAAAGATCAAAACCTTCCACGTGGTCTAGAAGGTCCTTCAGGACATAATCCTCTCTATCTCAACTCCTCAGCCTCCGCTCCACTCCTCACAAGGCCCCTTCCACACTCAATAACTCTCTTCTGAATAACGCCAAGCATTTCTTTCCACTTCCCTTTGCACATTCTCCCACTTTCTTTGTACATTTTTTTTTCTCCCCTCAGGTTTGAAAACTCTTCTACTTTTGTTAATTTCTGCTTCTGTTGTTTTCTTGGCTGTGCAATGGAATTCAACTATGTGAATAATAATAAATCATAGATAACATTGAGAAGAATGAGAATCCCAGAGCACTTAATTATGTTCATGCAAAGCATGTACACGGATCAAGTAGCAGTTCGAACAGAACAAGTTGGATACTGCATGGTTTAAGATATGTCAAAGTGATAGCCCTCTCCCTACCTATACAATCTATATGTAGAGAGAATAATTCAGGAAGCTGGATTGTATGAAGAAGAACATGGCATTAGGATTGGAGGAAGATTCATCAACAGTCTACACAATGTAGATGGCATAACCTTGCTCAAAGAAAGTAAAGATCCTAAGCATTTACTGAAGAAGAATAAAGATTATGCCTTCAATATAAGTGACACCAAGAAAACAAAAAATCCTCACAACTGGACCAATAGGTAATTTAATGATAAATGGAGAAAAGATTGAAGCTGTCATTGATTTCATTTTCCTTTGCAGTCACAATTGACACCCATGATAGCAGCAGTCAAGAAATGAAAAGACTTGTTGCATTGAGAAAATAAGCTGTCAAGGCCCTCTTCAAAATGCCAAAGAGCAAGGATGTCAGTTTGAAGAGTAGGGTGCACCTAACACAAGCTGACAGGCAACTTGATGACAGATGGAAACAGATTGAAACTATCAACAACTTAACCTTACTTAGATCCAATCAGCATACTTGGTACCAGCAGACAGGATATCAGAAGACATACTGCATTAGGAAAGTCTGCAGTCAGGGACCTCTCTAAATTCCTGAGGAGCAACAATGGCATTTTGAGCTCTATTGTGTGCGTGATTCAGGTCATGGTCTTTTAATCACTCCCTATGTATCTGAGAGCTGGATAATGAATAAGGATGACAGAAGAAAAATTTATGCCTTTGAGTTGTAGTGCTGGAGTGTACGGATTGAACTGCCAAAAGAACAAACAGGTATGTCTTGGAGAAAGTGCAGCTAAGTACTCCTTGAAGGCAAAGATGACAAAGCTTTGTCTCAGACACTTAGGGCATGTTGTTAGGAGACGCTAGTCCCTGGAGAGGGACATCATGCTTGGAAAGGTGGAGGGTCAGTGAAAGAGAGAAAGACCCTCAACCAGATGGGCTGACACAGTGACTGCTGCAATGGGCTCCAGTATATGAGAAATGGTGAGGATGGTTCAGGATAGGGCAGGGTTCAGGTCTGTTGTTTATACGGTTGCTATGGGTTGCACTTGACTCGATAGCACTTAACAACATACAACAACGACACAAGCCATAGTATTTTCATAGTATTTGTATGCATGTGAAATTTGGGCAATGAGTAAGGAAGACTGAAGAAGAATAGACACCTTTGAATTGTAGTATTGGCAAAGAACATTGGATACATCATGAATTGTGGTATTGGCAAAGAATACTGGAAACATCATGAGCTTCCTAAAGAACAAACAAATCTGTTTGAGAGGAAATGCAACTAGAATGCTTTTCAGAGGCAAAGATGGTGGAACTTTGGCTCACATACTTTGGGCCTGTTGTCAGGAGGGGCAAAAAAGACATCATGCTTGGAAAAATCAATGAAAGAATGGAAGTCCTTCAATGAGATGGTCTGACACCGTGATTGTAACAATGGGCTTGAACAAAGTGAAAAGTGTGAGGGCGTCACAGAATAGGGTGAAGTTTTGATTCGTTGTTCCTAAGGTCGCTATGAATCATAGCTGACTTGACTATACCTAACAGCATAGTAACCTTGACCATACCTAAATTAGTTCATTCCTATTTATTCTGTAGTTATAATGGCCTGTGAAAAATGCTCTGGAGGTACAGTAATAAAGCTTTTACTCTCTACCCAAAATGTCACTGATTTGAACACACCAGTTGCTTTCTAGGAGAAAAAAAATGAGGCTATCTGCTTTGTTGTTGTTAGGTGCCGTCGAGTCGAGTATGACCCATAGCGACCCGATCATTAATTCCTGACACACCAGAGCCCCTACAGCAGTCACTGTGTCAATCCACTTGTTTGAGGGTCTTCCTCTCTTTCACTGACCCTCCACCCTTCCTAGCATCATGTTCCTCTCTAAGGAAGAGCCCCTCCTGGCAACATGCCCAAAGTATGTGAGGGAAGCCTCATTATTCTTGCCTCCAAAGAGCACTCCAGCTGCACCCTTTCCAAGACATATCTGTTCTTTTGGCCGTCCATGGGATGTTCAGTGCTCTTCTCCACACCACAGCTCAAAGGCATCAATTCTTGTTTGAAGCAGTTGGATTCCTATCATGGAAACTTGCTTACAGCAATGGAAATCTTAGGGAGCCATTCTATTCAGTCCTATAGAATTGCTGAGTCAGAACTACTATGACAGTGGATTTTCAGCTTATGACTTCCTCCAGGAAGACTTCAGTGATTAACACTCCTCCATCCTGACACAGACTTGCTTGCACATTGCTGTTCTTCTTTTTGAGCACTCAATAAGCACTTGCTTAATAAACTATTTACGATCACATCAGTGTCCTCATTTTCCTTACTATCACTGCCTCCAGCTGTTGCTGCACACCTTTTGGTGCTTGTGTGGCCTTAACCCTGGTGAGCCAAGTTTACGGCTCATGGTCTGTAGGTTGTGCTGCGTGTCTGTATGCCTGGCTTGATTGGTTTCTCTGCTCCTGCTTCCCAACCTTAGTCTCACCGCCTCAGACTGTCCTTCTTCCAATGTCATCCAATGTCTGCTACGTGATGCCCAAGGTAAGTAAGTCCATCGATGTTTCTGATGTGTTTAAAAATATCCCTGCACAGAGTCCTGTACAAAACAAGCTTTCCTCACTCTTCGCTGCCCATATCTCATTCTCTATAGTAAGGTTATCTGATTGAGATGATTGTTGTGTACCAACGAGTAGGAACCAACCCACAGCTGACCTTCCAGCAGAGACATAAATCACATGGGAAGAGACTGCCCATCTTTCTGCCACAGAGCAGCTGGTGGATGTGAATCACCTATCTTTGGGCTGGCATCACAGTTCCTTATCACTAAGCCACCAGAGCTCCCCTAATCTGACTGGGTTAGTCTTTATACAGAAGAAGGCTGTCCACGTGGAGGCTCATGATCTTGGTGAACAGCATTTCTCCTCACACCCGAGTGACGTGAACCAAAACCCAAACCTAACCTGTGCCGTCGAGTCCATTTCAGCTCATGGTGACCCCATGTCTTCAGAGGAGGCTTGTTCATAGCGCTTTCTTGGCTTAAATCTTTATGGGAGGCTAATCCCCAGGACTTTCCTTTGTGGTGCCCCTGGGTGAGTTTGAACTGCCAACCTTTAGGGTCATAGTGGAATGCACATTCTTTGTGCTACCGCAGGGACCTTTAGAAAACCTATTGGGCTCTAACTCTCAACTTTGAGCTGCACAATGATTGCTGGGAGACCCCAATGATTAGGTTGAACAAATCATGGTCACCTGAGGTTGGGAGGGACTTGGAGGCCAATCTCTCTGAGCGCCCCTGATGGACCCTTCCAGGGTTGTTACCTCTCAACCAAGCATAGTTTACTCAACCCTGCAAGCCCCTCCTTCCTGGAGCTATAATCCATCTCCTCTGAGTCTGGCCACAGCTGGCCTAGGCCTGCCCGTCACAGTGACCCAGAACAAGGCTCTGTCCTCCAGAGGCAGGAAGCCTCAGGCAACTCCGTGTGAAAGGCTCTACACACCCGGTCAGCAGTCGACCTGGCCAAACACCACCCCCCACCCCACCCCCGGGACCAGGGACTCACACATTGGTGGTGAAGACCCCGTAAATGAGGTCCTGCTCAGGCAGGTGGAAGGCACTCTGCAGCTCGTTGTAGTAGAAAGGGACCTCGCCTGGGCGGGAGCAGTTGAGCCGGGCCTTCATGAACGTGGTCCACGTGTCCTCCAGCAGGAAGCGGCCCCCCACGTCGTTTTTGCACACGCGGGCCACTCGAGAGTATACGGTGCGCCCACAGTCATGCTCCACTGCGTTCTCCCGCAGGAAGAAGTATGCAAACAGCCCGATATCATAGGCTGCCACGAAGTTAGGTTCTGAAAGAAAAGGAACAACGAGAGGTGGGGGGGGGGGCATGTCAGCAGGGAGAAGGGACGAAGGTCAGGAGGAACTGACCACTTCTGTTTTCCCAGATGGGCACTCTAAAACCCCCACCAGCTCGGTGACCTGCTTCACACTAGTCCAGTTCCTCCTTCTAATACTAAGTACAGTTATAATTATAGCAAAACTAAGCCAAACCTATTACTGCCAGATTGATTTTGACTCAGCAACTAGAGAGCAAAGTACAACTGCTCCAAAAAGGCAGACTGCGTCATCCTTCTCTCACGAGGTATCTGGTAGATTTGAACAGCTAACCTTTGCCCATGTCGCCATGGCTCCCAAGTTCTAATAATTGTTATTGTTGTGTATCATAGAGTTGGAATTAACTCATAACTGACTCTCTGGCACGTTTTCAAAGGCAGTTAATCGCACAAGAGAAAAATACCCATCCTTCTCCACAAAGCAGCTGGTGGCCTCGAACTGCGTGCCTTTGGGACTGTAGCACAGCTTCTTGCCACTAGGCCACCAGAGCTCCCTAGTTCTAATAATAGTTGATATTTATTATTGAGACCAATTTCTGTGTTTCAGATCTTATTATAAATGTTTTATAGGAATTAAACCTTTTGATCTTCATAATGACCTATGATGGGCTCTGGTGGTGTAGCCCATAGAGAATTGAGCTTTTATCCTAAAGGCAACGCCTCTCTAGTGGTTCAAATCCATGAGCAGCTCCAAAGGAGAAAGATGGGCAGTCTCTTCCTGTGTGATTTACAGCATTTGAAATTCTGCTGGACAGTCAGCAATAAGTTGATTCTTGACAGCAACAAGAATGAGAATGACCAGATAAATTGCGAAGTAAATACGATTATTATCCCCAAGGAAGTACGATTATTATCCCAAAGTAAATACAATTATTATCCCAACTGAGGGAGAGATTACTGGCACAGCGAGGTTAAGTAATTGCTCGAAGTTATACAGCCAGTTGGTAGAGTACCAAGGATTCCACACTGGATGGACAGAAACATTCACAGTGCCCTACTCCTACTATCTTTTTCCCTCCTATAGCTTTTTTCCCCCTAATAAATTCCTAACTCTTTCTCTTCCCTCAGAGTTTGTCTTTCCTGTTTTCTGGATCCTCTCGTGGCACAGTCTGCAGGGAATTGTACTGCTAAGCGAAGGATGATGTCTTTCTGGTGGTGTGAATCTAGTAGCTGCTCTGAGGGAGAAGATGGCCAATCTTTTATGCAGTTTTACAGTCTCCTAAACCCTGCTGGAGGGCCAGTTATGAGTATGTTCTGAACTTGAAGCCAATGGAAGCTGATAGGTGAACTGGGAGCCAGGGCATCTGTGTTCCCCCCCAGGCCCCCCACTCGATGCTGTAGTTCCTGAGCAAACATCTGCTCTATTCAAGGTCTCCCCTTTGTGCAAGTGTGAGCCCAGGCAGGAGGAGGCCTGGAACAGGGTCAAGCGAGTTTGTCCAGGCCATACCCCTGGGGCTGGACCCTCCTTACCATTGAGCCACTTGGAGTTGTACTGGGCAGTGCGCAGAGGTGGCCCACTGCCCAGGCTGCGGTAGATGGCGGGGTCCCGACCTGAGAAGTCTATGACGGTGGCCGCGTAGAGCTCCCCCTGGGAGGAGATGACCGCTGTGGAGTTATGGCGTGGGTCGTAGGGACAGCGGGCGACGCCATTGATCTTCTCGATGATCCTGCTGAGGTTTCCCACCTGGGGACAAGGAGTGAAAGGGGGAGCTTTTCTCTGAAACTGTCACTTCTTTCAAACCCAAATTCCTGCTCTCTCCTGGGCCCTGGTATCTCTGGATTACTTCCCTCCTCCAGCTTTCTCACTGCCTACCCTGCAGCTCCTCTGAGGGACAAGGGGGGGGGGTGGAGAGAGAGAGAGAGATAGAGAGTCCCTCCAGGAGATCCAACTGCCTCTGGCCTTGTTTCCCAGGCTGGGCTGCCCAATAAACACAGGTGGTTGTTGCTGTGAGGTGCTGTCCAGTAGACTCATAGTAACCCTAGCAACAATAGATCTGACCCCGGTCCTATCCTGTGCCATCCTCATCATCTCTGACACACTGGAGCCCAATGCTGCCGTCACTGTGTTAATCCATCTCGCTGGGGATCTTCCTGACCCTCCACTTTCCAAGCATGATGTCCCTTTCCAAGGTATAACCTCGCCTAACTACATGTCCAAAGTATGAGAGACAAAGAAGCTTTCTCGTCCTCGCCTCCAAGGGGCACTTCTGTCAGCCAGGACTCATCCCGATCCTCTGAACAACACATCTGAACCTTGCCCTAGCCAGTGCCCTCCTCACCATCTCTGACATGCCTTTTGTGACAGGACCTGTGTCAGTGCACTCCAGGATCTTTCTTTCTCTGCCTCTCCACCTTTCCCAGCATGACGCCTTTTTCCCAGGACTGGCCCTGCCTGACAACAGGCCCAGAGTATGTCAGATGAAGTTTCACCATCCTGGCTTTCACAGAGCGTCCTGCTGCACTTCCTCAAGACTGGTTAAATAAGAATTTCCGATAAACATGAATGCTTTCCAAGTAGAAGTATATTCCAAATATTTTATATATCCTTATGCTAAAATACCATTTGGTCCATATCTGAAATGTAAATCCCTGTTTTATTTAGCTTAGCTTTTGTTTGTTTTCAAGACTGGCAGCTCTACGGCAAGGCTGTGTGAATGGAGGACAGGAGCCCGTAGTATCCTTTGCTTTTATTTTTTTTTCTTAGTCCCCTTTTCCACCTGCTCCACCTCTCTGCTGGAGCATGAAGCACCCCCACCTGTCTGCTGGAGCACACGGGGGAAAAGGCATTGGTCCCACACATGAACACCTTCCGGCCAGCGACGATCAGGACGCGCACGTAGTTCTGACACTCCTCCTGCGGTGGAAAGGGGAAGTGGGAGAGGGGCCACTCTATGTGATCATGGCCCTGGGTGTCTTCATCACACATCACTGCACCGCAGAGGCCCAGGAATATTCTAAGACACTTCCCTCTGCCCCAGCCCCAAGCAGCTCCTCCAGCAGCACTCAAAGGAGTCCAGGCTTCATCTGAAAGCTCTGAAGCCATGGGAGAGAGACACCGTCAACAGCCTTGTACCCATCCTCTCCCCGCTGCAGCACCCATCTACATGCAAGGGCTATGAGGGCAGGGAATTTATGCCCATGCTGTGCCCATCCACTCCAGCCCAGCCCCGGGGTCAGCAGACTCTCATACCTCGGTCTTCCCTTTGCTTTGGCAGGAGCGGCGCGTGTCCTCATTGGATGCCCATTCAGTGGCCTGTGGAAGGAACACACTGCATCACAGGCCATGCACAGCCAGGACAGACACATGCTGGGCTGCCCATGTTGGGAGCAGACAGGAAGTTGTGAAAGGGTTAGGGACAGCCTGCAGATTAAGTGCCCCTCTCACAACATCCAGTTCTGCCTGAAGGGGCCTCCAGTGGTCCTTACCGAGGAACATTTAGGGAACGGACACCCCCCTCACCCAGGACACCTCCCCACCTTTATGAGGGGAGACAATGCAGCACAGGCCTCAGATGACAGACAGAGAGAAGGAACAACAACATTTTTGTGCCCCATCATCCCCACCTGGCTGTATGCACTGATCCTCCTCTCCCCAGGTTCCCCAGGGGGCTGGCAGAGGCCAGGGACCTCCATTTCCACCCCAGGCTCTGAGGGGGAGAAGAGTAATGACGGCTTTCCCTCAAGAGGCGAGACACTCGGAGGGAAGGAAGGCTGGATTTTGTGAACCGACCCATAGCTGACCCTCCAGGGGGTTTTCAGAGGCAGTGAATCACACAAGAGGAGGCTGCCCATCCTCCTGGTGCACAGCTGGTGGATTGGAAGTGGGTGCTTTTGGGATTGCAGCACGGTTTCTTGCCACAAAGCTGAGGTCTCTAATGCTGCCTCACTCGCAACACAGAGGTTAGTGCTCACAACAGAGAGAATAATGACATTTTACTGAGAATCGAGGTCAAGTTCATAGACAGTATAAGCCATCCTCTCCTGCCCCAGTGTGCAGGGTGGTGTTAAGGCCTCCTGCTTGGCTCTTGGCCTGGGACTCACCTACTCTCCTCTCTTACTTTCTGATTCCCATGGCTTCCTCCTTCTTGATTTACTTGCTTAGATACAGAAGATCTATTTCATTCTCCCACTGGACCCCTGAAACACCCCTGGCTGGTGTCTTGTCTTTATTAACAGATGAAGGATCTTCGGTTCTGACTTGCTTAAGGTGACAAAGCTCATGGGTGGTAGAGCAGGGAACAGCACTAACATTCCAACACTCCTCTGACACTTGAAGGGGTGTGTGTGTGTGTGAATGTGTGGTTTTTTAAAATCTTCATCCCAGTTTCAAGGGTCTAGGACGTCCTCTGCCTAACACCACCCCCCCATCTCAATGCTGTCCACACTTCCCTGCTTCTTGTCTTTGTAACATCACTCGGGTTCTGCCGTGGGTTCATCTGTTTGGGACCCAGCATTCACTCAGGACCCAGCAGCCAGTACTACGTTCTCAGGTACCATTGCATTAGTAGGAGGGCGGGTCCCCACTCAGCAGCACCCTTTTGTTCTGTCCATCGATTCTATGTCTATTCTGTAGCATCTCAGCTCCCAGCCTGTAAGCAGCAGCTAAAGGATGAGCGATACCCTTCATGTCTGTGCAATGTCAACAGCCCTGGCGCGAGGCTCATTATGTATTTCTGGCTCCTATGTATAAACATGAACTGCCTACCTGTCCTGGGAGAGGGAGCCCCGAGCAAGCAGCTCTGCCATCCAAAAGGGAAAAGAAAACACCTGCTTTTATTTCCTAACAAAACTCCTTCTAGCTGTTTAGTCCCTGCTGCAGCTTGGAAGGGCTGGTGTGCGGGAGGGGAGGAAGGGCTGGGAGGGAGAGCAGCATAACTCACCCCCTCATCCCCCAGGCTGCAGCTGACTCCAGAACCCCGAGAGTCTGCAGCGTGGGGTAGCGGATGCTGGCTAGGGCCACCCCTGGCCACAGGAGCTGGGTGATGGATTTACCCATGTTCTCATCCGACCTGTGAGCAGGTTTGACCTATTCCACAGCCCCAGGCTTGGAGGTCAGGTCCCTGCTTCTCTGTGACTTTGGAGAAGGACAAATAACTCCTGGGAGTTCACTCACCTACACAGGAAAAAAATCGAGCCATTTTCACAGTCAAGAGACTGTCCACTTGTAGGCTAGCCAGATGTGAGAGGAGAGAGGGCAGTAAATAAGACACTCTGAGCTACTGGGGGCAGAGAACAGCAGTGACTTGCATACACCGCTCTGGTAACTCAATGGTGAGGAGTTGCCCTGTCAACCCAAAGGAACCGTTTGAATCCACCACTGCTTCACGGCAGAAAGGTGGGAAATCTCCTCCTTTGCAATTTACTGGCTCTGAAATCTGTTGGAGGGTCAGCTATGAGCGATTCCAATGTGACGATACATAACAGTTCCACACACTGCAGATACTCTCTCTCTCTCTCTGCCACCGCTTCCTCCCTCTGTCTCTCTCTCCCGCGCCCCCACCCCCCATGTGTTTGTGTCTCTGTGTGCCGAGGTCTCTGAGCACAGGGGCACAATGAAGGGAGCACGCCTTAATCCTATGAGGTGGGAACCACATTTTTAGGGAACAAGTGTCAACAAAAAAAGAAGTATTAGCTGCAGTTACAATGAGGTAAATAATGTGACAGGCATGTGCCAAAGGCTTGTGCCAAACTTTTTCTCTTTTCCTTAAAAATGCCACTGAGGCAGGATGCCTTTTGTTCCCCTTACAGGGGAGTAAACAGACCCAGAGAGGCTGAGCAATTGGCCCAAGGTCACACAGCTAGTAAGATGCAAACAGATAACTGACTCCAGAGCTGAGCTCTGGCTGCGACATCCTGCATCCTCACATCCTGCATCCTCTCCTCGTGATTAGATTTCTCAACAGAAAAGTTAAAGCATATGGCCTGAAGAGACTATGTATATTTATAATGATAACAGCACAGAGCAAGATTTTTCTGAGTCATTTTATTTTAAAATTCTTTTTATCAAGGTAATAATGCACATAGTTTAAAAAGTTAAATAGTATGAAAAAATTTATTAAAGGAAAAAAGTAACCAAGCCTTCCCATACCCCAATCCCATTTATTCCCAAGATAACCACTTTGAACTCTTTTAGCTGTTCCTCTGCTCGGGTTGTTTGTTTTTTTTTTTTTTGACCCGAATTCTCAAAAATATACATCAACCTCTATCTTTCAGCTTCTTCTTACAGAAGTGAAGATTTTCTTGCTTACCCATCTATCCCCATTCTTTCCCACCTTGAAACATACACCCATTTCTCTCTTCTCTTTCTATCCTTCTTATATAATCAGTTAATATTTTGCATTTAAGTTTACATCACTATTTACAGTATTGGAATATGTTTAAAAAAGTCAATGCTACCATGATTCCACTGAAAGCCAGACATCATTTGTTGTAGTGTGAGCCACCAGGCAAGGAAAAGGAGACCTGGTGGTGCAGTGGTTAAGTGCTTGATGCTTACCAAAAAGTCAGTGGTTTGAACTCACCACATACTCTCTGTGGGGAGAAAAGACCTGGCAAACTGTTCCGATAAGGATGACAGCCCAGGATACCCCAGAGATCTCTTCCCGTAAAGATTACAGCCTAGAGTACCTGATGGGCCAGCTCCACTCTGTCCCCTGGGATTACAGGAATCCGCTCACACACAACAACAATAAGAAAGAAAGCACGATGCCAAACAACTTCTGCCCTAATACTCTTGAAATTTTCCATGTAAACTCACTGTAAGCACACTTTAGACATTTAAGCAGACATATTTATTACACAGTGCATGTGAAGGAAGAAAAAATATCAGTGAAATTAATTGATGAAATCTCCTTAAAGTCTCCCTGAATGCAGAATTCTCCTCTGAATCACTTTTTTACTCGAAGGATCAGCAACACCCCCACCTCCGTCCACAGGGCCTCCTTCTTTGAACCACTCGGGTTGTCCCTGATCTAGCAATCTCTAAAGAGTTTCCCACCCTGGTTCCCAGGATTTTCTTTCAAGTGTTGACTCCCTTCTCTAAGTTTAGACACTGGCACTTTCTTGGTCTCACCAGAAGGTGTCCACAGAAGGTTTTTGGTCAAGCCAAGACAAATCCTCTCTCTCCTTCCTCAGCATCCTAATATGGTTGGGGGACCAAAATGTCAAGGGTATGGTGTTCTCTAGTCAGCATGCCAGGATTAATGACCCAGTTGCCACACAAGCAATGACAACTATACCACAATTGACATCTGCTCCGTGGGGGCCGTAAGACGCCCTTGACTGATGATTTCACACTCATTAAAATGTGCAGACAGATGACACAACCTTTCATGCTGAAAGTGAGGACTTGAAGCACTTGCTGCAGAAGGTTAAACAGTGTAGCCTTCAATATGGATTGCAACGCAACATCAAGAAATCAAAAATCCTTGCCATTGGACCAAAAGGCAGCAGCATCATGACAAACAGAGAAAGAACTGAGACTGTCAGTGACTTCATCTTACTTGGATCCACAATCAATACATTTGGTATCAGCAGTCAGGAGGAGTTGTATTGCACTGGGAAAATATGCAGTCAGAGACCTCTCCAAATTATTGAGGAGTAATGATATCAGTTTGAAGACTATAGTGCATCTGATTCAGGCCATTGTCTTTTCAGTCACTTGCTATGCATCTGAGAGCTGGACAATGACTCATGACCCAGGAGCCTTCCAGACTCTAGGAGCCTGTGGAAGCATGAACGACGACTCCTCCTCCTCAAAGACCTCAACCACACGCTGACTGCTTCTCCTCACAATGGCCTCTCTGTTCTGCAAAGGCTGTTCTTGTGGTGTTGTGTTTTCAAAGAGAGCCTTTTCAGGGCACCTTGAGGTTACAACGTTCCTGTGGGACTGCCGACTCCCACCTTCTCTTGCCTCTCTTGTCTTCCTTGTAAAATAAGGGTCGGTGACTGAACTCCTTGGCTGTGCTGACTTCCTAACTCTGAGGAAGTCAGTTCACTTTTGTTCCTCGGGAGGCCAGGCCCAGCAGTCAGCGTGGACGGAGCTGAGGTCGGTCGGCGTGTGCTCGCCACAGGAAACCACTGACTCTGTGAGCCACAAAGGCAGCTCCAGCCACAGGGTAAAAAGTTTTATCTTGTGAACCCCAAAGCACATCAAAGCTAGTGGCCAGGTGTAGGGGACAGCCGAGGAAAGCAAGGCAAGTGTACTGTGGGACCAATACAGCCTTTTATGGCAAAAGTTTCTTGTATCCAAAC